CGTTTTTGAGGATGTCATTTAATAAACTACAATGAAGATAATCCTACTGAAGTTGTTAAAACTATACGTTGTTTTATGCTTCAACCAATGTTAGGAAAACCAGATTTTGTTTGTTGTATGGTGCCAATCTTTACGCTTTTGTTTATTTTTTACAAAGTTTAATTAATCAAATCACTCAGACAGTAGCTGAACTAGGCAGTAAAATTTTATGCCTTCTTTCAGACAATCTTGCAACAAACTGTAATGTCTATAAAAAATTTACTTAGAAAGTAGATATGCCTTAGCTAGTCATTATTATTAATGGAAATCTTGTAATACTTCATGATCCAGTGCATTTATTAAAATTAATTAGAAATAACTGGCTAACTGAAAAGTTTGGTAAAATTTATCTCACACTAAATGGTTTGTTATTTAAAAGCTACTTGAAGTATTTGGTACATTTATATGGCAAAGAAAAAAATGTGAAGTAGATGAATCTTTCATGCAAAGCCATTTTTTCTTTTGATCCTTTTGATGTAGCCCATTTGCGTGCAGTTGTGAATAAGAAAGTGTTAAAGTTAAATATTAAAGCGAAAAATTGTACATTTAGTCTAAAAATTGTTGACTGAAAATCATCAGTTCTCCCTGGGATTTTTCAGACAAATTGATTTGAAAGAGAATTTGGATTATATAGGTAATTAAATTTTTTTGTTTAGCTTATCTGTGTTTTTTATAACCATTATAATAATTATTTTGTAAAAATATTAAATATATATATATATATATATATATATATATATATATATATATATATATATATATATATATATATATATATATATATATATATATATATATATATATATAGATAGTGAAAACTAAATAATTGTTAAGATATATTTCAATTACATAACTAAAAGTTTCATGCAATAGCGATCATCAGATGTAACAACAATAAAAAGTAACAACAAAAATTATATACAAAAAATGCTATGGAGTGTCCGCTTTGATGACATTAAAGTTTTTTATTAGAAATTTATTTTCATGGCGGCATTTTGACGCAAGCTCGGTTCGTTTGTTAAGCAAATTCAATGGCGACGTAATAATGTGGTATTTTTCTGTCAAGCATAAATTGCAAAATTTACCACCAGGTTTGAATGGCTCCGCTTGATTGAGGATATTCTATTTTAATATAGGTTCTATACCTTTATTTTTGCATTCCCACACAAATTTCGAAAGTTCAGTGGAGTTGGCCTTACTTTCATAAACAAAGGAGTTTTTATGTTTATACCACCTGTCTTTGAAAGTTTTCTCAGTAAGCCCAACGTAATAATATCCTTCTTCTTCTTGGTGAGTTTTTGCGTTGCAAATATAAATAAGATTTTTTGTAAGGCATTTTCCATTGAGTGGGCATAAGGTGGTTTGTCGACAATTGCATATTTGATTGGCATTTTCATGAGAATGAAATAATATCTTTTTATTATGAGAAGTAACAATACTCTTGATGTTTGGAAGGCAGCTATAACTAACCTTTAAGTTGTTTTGATTAAAAAGTTTGTGAAATTTGTGGCCTTTAGGGAAACATTTATCAATTGTACTCAAAAATGTTTTGGCTACGCTTGTTCTGACGTTGAGTGAATAAGGTGGGTTAAAACAGATGTTTCTTTTTCGAGATTTTTTATTATATTTCTGGATATTTGGAGTGAAATTGATCTTATCTTTGAATCCACAAGAATTAAGAGCGTTATTATAAAATGGTGTGGCTCTATCAAAAGCTTATTTGCTTGAAGATATATTACTGATGCGGTCAGAGATCATTTTTGGTATCGATTTAATAATGCTTGGTGGATGATTGGAATTGATGTTAATATATAAAGGATTATCTCCTGGTTTTCTATAAGGTTTAAAAGAGTTCTCAGAAAAGTTAAATGTCATATCAAGAAAATTTACGGTTTTTAAATTTGGTTTGATAGTAATGTTAAGATTAAAATTGTCTTTAAAAATTTTTATTAGATTTTTCTTTATTTTTTCCGATTGAGGACCACTGATATTATAGAAGCAGCAAAGACCATCATCAATACCAAAAAATTTTTAATATGCACAGCTCAAGTCTTACCATTAACAATGCTATAAAGGTAATGTGCCTGTAGATTTACTTTACCAAGTCTACACATAACACACTTAAGTTGGCGTGTTATTATATGTGTTTATTATTGCTGCCTATTCTAGTAAAAAAAAAAAAAAAGTAAAAAGAAGACCTACTAATAATATCGAATAATTGAGTTAATTTACAGATTTATGAAAAAATTTATAGAACCAATCTCATTCTAGATTTATTAGTATTTTTGTTTAAGTTATAACAAATGCAATATTGCTAACTGCCAAAGTCAGCCCTCTTGTCGAATTCGCATCGATTTGAAAAGTTGCGTCCTGGTATTTTAGTATTCCCTGGAATGACCAATCAGTTTGTGAAGTGGTGGTGTTATACTGATCCATGGTTCAGTTAAATTTATTTTTGTAATAGATAAAAACTCATCTAGTAGGAATAAATAAAAATCTGTACAATAGTTTTAATATTGATCCACATAAATTTTTTTCTTATTGAGGAAAATACTCAAAGATTTACTAACCAATTTAAACTTATAAAATGTTGCATGGTGTTAAACAGGCAATTGTGCAATAATTAAATCCATATTTTATTTTTTGTGCAATAGTTCTCTAGCTATACATGTTGTTGTTGTTCCTTCTTTTTCCAACTGTATCGAGGTAGTGAATATCTGTATATCTGTTGATATCTGTAGTGAAGTCTCTGCTTGCTTCAGAAATCTATTTGAAGCTCTGAAAGGGTACTCAGACCAATTAAAAACACCAGCTTTCACATGCACAACAGTCTTCATGAAATGGTCAAATGTACCCAGTAAAGCATGAAGAACCTATAAAAATATCAGTAATTTTTAAATGTAATCATTTTTAATATCAGATTTTTTCCTATATTAAGAATATATAACACTATTACAAAGAACACTATTACAAGATAACAATTTATTTGTATTGGTTTTACATCACCGATTGGAATTGTTTTGAAAGTTTTTCCGGCCCTTTTTAAGTACAGAACAGTCTTCTTGTTCAAATTGGTTAAACATTTCATTCATAGCTATTGTGTCTTGATTCATTGCAAAACTGTTTTCAATTTTTTCAATATTCAAACATTGATCTTTTTGAGCATGTGCATAGATCACAATATGCACCTCGAACTCCTAAAAAATGATTCGCTGCTTTCATATCCATCATATATCACCTTTACATTAAATTGTTTTCCCTCTTTATAGATAAGGAAAGTTTATTTTTTAACTCTTTAACATCAGAATTAAAGACAAAAAATTATTGAAGAGTTTCTCTTGATTCTTTTTCTATTTGAAGACTCAGCACTCTGTGACTCAGTGGGGTGTATGGTAACTTTTGCAACCATATTAACAAACCTGCTTCTGTTTCAAGTGAACAATACATTGTCATGATGATATTGCTACTGTTAACATTATCTTTTTGATTAAATATTGCATGGCTTCTACTACCATAAAATATTTTAAGATATTTTAAAAACTTTTTTTTATCTTTTTTCATTGGTTTCTAGCAATAATCTTTCCAACTCGCTTTCCAGATTTATACAAACATTTATATGCAAATAAATTCGACATTTCTGATAAAAAGAAGAAATATCTCTTATTAAAGCCCTAAAGTATAATGTGAATATTAGACTAAGAAAGGGGTTTGAAGCTGTTTAAAAGAAATTCTCTGCTTATTCCTTAATAAGCAGCATGCAGTTACCATCTCCCTATCACTAGTTTTTTTATTTTATTAAGACACCATCTCTAGTGTTTAATCAACCAAGAACCCCATAGTAGTCTGAATTCTAAGACAAAGTTAACTTCTCCAAGTCATTGCCTAGAAAATTGAATCCTACAAGGCAGCAGGGCATGAGGCAGTTTGTACTTGATTACATGTTACCATTAACAAGGTGATCATAATGATTCTAGTCCTTATTTAGTTATAAAAAGATGGTAATCTAAATATGCTGGTATTGGGCTGACAATTATTTAAAATTTTAAAAAAACTATTTAGTATTTTGGCTAAAAAACCTAAAACATTTTTTCTTAAAATAAAAAATGAAAACATGTAACTATTTTATACTATATATTTACATTCAAAAAATTACTTGCTCTACCCTTCCCCTTCCTAACCTCCCTCCCAAAGTTGATTTCAAATGGGTAAAAACAAACATTTATTTTATTTTGTGCAATAAAAGCAAGCATATTTTTAAAAAACAGATAAAAAGGGTATAAAAACTTTTAAGATAATTTTAAAATTTTAGTGACTGTGCCCCCTAAATATGTGTGCAAATTAATTTTTTTTAAAAGCCACCATAACATGTTTGTCACCATAACAGCCATAGAAATAATTATTAGAAGATTTTTTTCTTTTTTTTTGAAATTGTATATAATAAGTAATCAGAAAATTTATTAAAGTATTTAAAAAAAAAAACTATGCCTTACCCTAGTATATATGTTTAAATATCTCCATTATAAAGCATTTTTGACGTTATTATATACCACTATATAGACACCACTTCCCATATAGACCAAGAAAGCAATCAGTTTGATCACTAATTTTTAAAAATGTTGTTACAACTCTAACAAAACTGTATGACTCTAAGACATTAACCTTGACAGTGTGCAGTACTACCAGATCACTAAATCAGTTTGATCACTAATTTTTAAAAATGTTGTTACAACTCTAACAAAACTGTATGACTCTAAGACATTAACCTTGACAGTGTGCAGTACTACCAGAGATCTAGTAGGATTTTAACTATGTTTTTTGTTTTTAACTATGTGTTTTTTGAGAACTTTGTTTTTCTAAAGCAAAAGTTTGATTTCAAAAATAAAAAGTTATGTTTTAAATTTGTTTTCTATTTTTTTTTTCTTTTTTTTTTTTCTTTCTAAATTTTAATTTTGTTGCTAAAGGAACTATCGAAGAGTTTTACTAAAGGCTTTAAACAAAGATCTTCATGAAGAGCTCAATTATATCACAAGCATTATACGCAAACAACCAAAAAACTACCAAGTGTGGTAATTTAATTATAGTTACACTTGCAAAAAAAAGTTTTTTACTTTATAACCTCTATATAGTCCATCTATATATATATATATATATATATATATATATATATATATATATATATATATATATATATATATATATATATATATATATATATATATATATATATATATATATATATATATATATATATATATACGTATATATATATATATATATATATATATATATATATATATATATATATATATATATATATATATATATATATATATATATATATATATATATATATATATATATATATATATATATATATATATGTATATATATATATATATATATATATATATATATATATATATATATATATATATATGTATATATATATATCTATATATATATATATATATATATATATATATATATATATATATATATATATATATTAAGTTACTTTTTTTATATTTTTGTAATTCTTGTAAGGTACCACAGAGGGATAATAGTTCAATGGCTAAATGATGCATCTAAAGAGCTTTCCTTTACTTCAGAAATGTTACACAGAGACAGTAAAAATTACCATTGTTGGCAGCACAGGCAGCTAATATTAAATTGTTTTAAATTGTGGACTGACGAAGTAGATTTTACCACAAATTTTATTGTACAAGATTGCAGAAACAATTCAGCTTGGAACCAAAGATACTATGCATATATAAATACAACAGGATTCACTGATAGTGTTGTAGAAAACGAAGTCAGGTATAAAATTTTAAGAAGTGTTTTGCTGCATTTTATATTTATATTATTAAAGTTAAAAATTTCATTTTTTTTTTCTCATATTACTTTTATATTTTTTATAACAACTATGATTGTCAATTCAATTGAAACATTTTTTTTTTAATTCCATTAAAACAAAATATTTCAACACAAAAGTGTCAGTTATAAATATAATTAAATTTTTTTTTTTTTTTTTTTTTACAGTTTTACAGTTGAATGGATAAAAAAAGCTCCAAACAATGAGAGTACTTGGAATTATTTGACAGGGTTTTTTAATTTTTATACTATTCAATAAATATAAATTTTATAAATTTAAATTTTTTTACATATTTCAAAGTTTTTTTAGTTCATAACAAGAAAATTTTATTTGAAAAAATACATTTTACATTTTTAATTAAATTGGAGTTCGAAGATCTCCACTGAACACAATATAAATATGTGTTTTTACTTGTTTTTGATGATAGCATTCTTAATGCAGCTGGTGGTCTTTACAAGTTTTTGGCTTTACAAGATGAATTTGAAATTATGCTAAAAGAAGGATGTGATTCTCCATATCTTCTCTCCATGTTAGTTGATTTTTATGAAGTCTCTCTTGAACATAATCCATCGACTGGAAAACAAAATGGTCTACGTGCAGTTGAGGTGCATATTTTTTTGATTCAGTTTTGTTTTTTGTTTTCAATTTGTTTATTTATCTTGTTATTTTGTTTTAATTCATAAATATTTAAATAATTTTAAAGATTTGAATCTTAAAAATTTAAAAGTTACATTATTCATGTAATGTAACTATTAAATGTTTAAATAATAAATTATTTTTTACTATGCTTTAGTTTTTACTGCTTAATTTTAAACTAAAGCAAACAAATATGATGTAATTTGTAATAACCATGATAATTATAGATTTAAAACAAAAAATTTTCTACCTTTTATACCTGATTTAGAAAATTTTAAAAATGACCTATGCACTTAATTAAAACAATAAAGTTTCAGTGTATAATTAACGAATTTCAAAAAGAGTTTAATTTAGGTGTTAAAAAAATTAAATCGAACTCTAATATTTTAGTTTTTGCTGATAAAAAAAAATAACATTTACCAACTCATAACAGAAAACTACAAAAAATATTACACAATAATATTGCTAATTCATATGAGAAAGCCCCAAAAAATACATTTAATTTAGAAGCCAAAGTATTGCTAAAAACAAATAACTATAAAAATATAATTAAATCCAGGGCTTTGGAGCAGCTCTGGAGCCGGAGCTGGAGCTGTCCGGAGCTAGTGATTTTACATGGAGTTGAGCCGGAGCTGGAGCTAAAATATTTCCTGTAAAATATCAAAGAGCTCCGCTCTTTGATATTTTAAATAACCAAAGTTGCATAAAGTTATTATTTTATACGGGATTTTTTTTCAAAGAAATCAAACATTTAGGCTAATTTCTAAATATAGCTTTTTATCATATGCTTAACAAAAAGGTAAACTATATATATATATATATATATATATATATATATATATATATATATATATATATATATATATATATATATATATATATATATATATATCTGTTAGATAATAGATGCGCAACTTGAAGCACATAGACACATCTTTAGAATATGATTTTCATATTTTGAAAAATTATACTTGAGCTTATTAAATATTTTTAGTTTACTTTCAAAAAATTGTTAGTATTTTTTGAGAATTTAATTATTATCAAATTATTTTGTGTGATATGTCATGTAATTTATATTATTGAGTTTGATAAGTTACTTAAAAACAAAACTTCCAAACAATGTCAATGATTGCTTAATGAAAGTATATTTTATCCATGTGTTAAGTCACATGATTCATTTTAACGTTTTTAATTAGTTAAAACATTTAAAAAAAGATTTAAACATGCGAGTTCCAATTAATATTAATCAATGAGTAATTAAGTTTTTAAATTATTTATTATTAATGCAAGCTAATTATAGTGCTATATAATGGTTTATTGTCGTTTATTTTTTTATCTATAGTTTTTAATAAAAATGGCTTCAAACTCAAATAATCTGAGAGGCTTCTAGATAAGTATTTTTCAATTGATAAAATTACAAAACTGGCGACATGCAAGATTACAGAAAAGATAAATGATAAAGTGATTTCATGCGGCATGCAAATAAGAAAATAAAAAATTTACAATATGAAACGGCATTTGGAAAGATCGCATCTATCAGAATATACAATTGTTGAATTTGAAATTAGCCTTATGACCAAAAGAAAATCTTCAGAATAATTTTTATCATATTCACAATATATCAATACTAAAAAATCAAAGCAGTCTACTTTAGATTCTTTTGCTATCACTAGTAGTAGAACAATAAATCAAGTTAGTGCTAAAACTTTTAAAATGGGAATTATTAAGATGGTAGTGAATAACGGAGTTTGGTTGAAAACATTTGCAGATGAAGGATTTCAGTTGGTTACAGGCCAATTAGGTAAAACTCTTGGATTCAGCACTGGACACGATTCTGTATGCAATTTAATTAATGAGTTTGCTGAAAAAAAGAAAGCTGAAATAAAAGAAATACTGTTACAGAAATTTATGTGAACTTAACACCATAAGAACTATTTGCGAATAATTATTTAATATTATTATGCGGGAAAAAATCAATTTAAAGCTTTGGCACTGATAGAGACAGAAGGACAGCACAACTCTGCTGCTATCAAAAAAATGGTGGAAGAAACTCTATATAGATTTGGTATCAGCAAAAATCAAATAGTATGTGCAAGTGTAGACAATGCAGCTAATATGATTAGAGCAGTCACACTTTTAAACGAATATTCTGGTGATGAAAATTTTCAAGATGAAAATTTTCATTTCAACTCTTCTTGTTCTTCGTCCTTTGCAGGACGAAGAACAAGAGGAGTTTTTACAACAGGACACAAATGAGGAAGAAAGTGCTGTCGCTTGGAAAGAAAATCTATCCTTTGTTCTCCCAGATTGGTGTCATTAATTGTCTCATTACATTAAGCTGATGTGCTGTGTTATTCACAAACAGGACGCTTAAACGTAAAGTCAGCTTTTGAGGGAATTGAAGAGTACCCAAAAAGAATACAAGAAGCATGCAGAGTTGTATGCCTGTCTCACAAGCAAGTGTAGAGAGGCTATTTTCTGCTTTTAAGTTTATATCGAGCAATCTGCGTTGTTCACTCAAACCAGATATTTTAATATTTTATTTTTAAAGATGAATCAAGATTTTGATTAATAAAATATTAATAGTATTTAAGTTACTGCCTTAAAACAATAAAAATACTTTTTTGATTTTTTTTTTTTTTTGTGGAGCCGCTCCGAAGCTAGAGCTAGAGCCATAAAATTCTAATGGAGCCTGAGCCAACTTTTAGACCTCGGCTCCAAAACCCTGATTAAATCAACTGCCTCTGCACAAGTGCTTGTTACACTAAAAAATCATAAACCAAATTTTCAAAACAAACTACCTTGTAGGTTATTAGTTTCCTTAAAAAGTGAGATTAGACAAAGCAAATTTTTTGACAAAATAATATTCTTAGAAATAAATTACATTTACAACAATGGGAAAATTCTACTATAAATTGGTTCTCTTTAATCAAAAATAAAAAAAACTGTACATTTTTTGTAAGAGCCTATGGCCCTTACATTATTTTATAAAAGTTGATAATTTCTTATTGCATTTTAACACTAGTAGAAACATGTAGGATGGTTAACTACGTACTTTAGATTATGGTGGCTTTAGCTGGTAACAAGTACCACAAGTTTTAAAATACCGGCTAAATTACGTCAAATTATAAAGCGTTTTTTTTTTTTATAATTTTTTTCGGAGTAGTATTAGATAGCCATTTTTTTCAAAATAAAAAACAACAATGAAAATAACTGTGATAATTGTAAAGAAAATTATTTTGAAAATTTTTAGGAAACACTATAAATTCATTTAAATACTACAATTAATAATATATTGACTTGACTTAATAATAAAAAGTTAGTTTATTGCAAAAGCAAAGATAAAAACCAGGCTGTGTAATTAAAAAAATAAAATTTGGAAAAGAATTTGGTGTAACATATTTTCGCTTTAACAACTAGCTACCTTTCAGTACACTTATTATACTGACAATATAAGTTAGCAGTGGGCCACGGGCTACTAATTTAACGTTAATAATTTTTACCTCTCAATAACAGCAGATATGGTAGATGAAATATTTGAATTTGCAAAAAACCAAACCAGAATTCCAAAAGAGACAATTCATATAACAAAACATTGAAGTAATAATGGGCAGTTATGATGGAGCAGAAATTTTTTGAATTTCTTGGAATATATATTTTAAATTTATTAAAAATTATTAAATAAAATAATCAACATTAATGATTTAGGCTTTATTTTGATAATGGTTTGATAGTAGTGCGTAAAAAATAAGAAGGGTCGTCCATAAATTACGTCACACTTTAAAGATTGGGGGTATTAATTTTGTGACAAAACTTGCTACTAAAGTGACCACACCCACGCTGAACCAGATTTTAGTTTGATGAAATGACATTTTCTTTTTGAAATTGTTAGAGCCATACCATTCAGGGAAAGTTAGTGAAAAAAATCATAAAACTAATCTTTAAAAAATATTTGGGTTTATACAGGGGTCAAATAGGGTCCCGAACTTAGGCGCCCCTCTAACTGGTATCAAAACCCACCACAGGTGTGCATGCAATTGTTGTACATTTTGTCAGAAAATATGATTAGTCATTATATGTCCCCCTCAGATGGGTCTTAAAAACAGTATGAGGGGTGCCAATGCCAAGTACTTTTTTCTTCTTAAAATTAAAAGGGAAATAAAAAATTTATTTTTAGAAAATATTTATTAAACATTATTTAAATGTTTTCCATTGAAACTAACTACTGCTTTTTTCAAATACTTTGCATACTTTTGATGGTTATCAGACACTTTGAAACGTTCCCATGCTTCCTTTAGAAATAAGTAGTGAAGAGCTTCCCCTGCTTGTTTACTAAAGAAACCCAATCCAATGTCCTTATCTTTACAAAAAGGACCTACATGTTAAAATAACCTGATGTCTTTTTCAAATGTTGGCCTTAAATTTACACCAATAAACAAGAGTGAACAAGGTTATCCAGAAGCCTGAACGCTTCAGCCAATGGTTTTAATAGGACTTGAAACAAGTTATAGTACTTCACCCAATTTTTTAATATTTTTCGACAACCATTACCATTATATAACCCATTTCTTATTGATTTAGAAATATTTAAGTAATTTTCGATCTTTTTTAATAGTACTGGATCAGCTAATTTGTTTATTGTTTTAAAGATACGGTTTGTTGCCCCTTCCATCAAATAAGGTTCTGGAGGAGAAAGATGATTAACAACTAGATCATTATCATCACCAATTAAAAGAACTTTATCAATACAGTTAAAATATTCTTTTGCTCTAATTTTCTTTGATCCGCTCAATTTATACAGTTTACTGCCTAATCTTAGTGACCCAAGTGTTCGTAGCTCAGTGCAATCATTTTTAAAAACCTCTGTTCTTTTCCATGTACAAATATAACACGGATGAGTAGCCATGGAACTCGGAGACATACCACACATGACTTGACAGAGTTTGACATCTGCCACACAAGTAAAGTT